TGCTCTTCAACCTCCTGTCTGAGAGGAGCAGGGCAAAAAGTGTGTGTGCTGGGTGAGTGGGGTCCTTCATGATGCAGGTGGCTCTCTTCCTGCATCTGGAGGTGTAGATGTTTGTGATGGTGGGGATGCTGACTCTTGCACCTCTAGTAGCTGCAGATCGTAATGTTTACTGTGGTACATGTCAGTATGAATGAATATTTAAAGCATCAGTCAAAAATTGCGTTATGAATATGGAAAAAAAATCCAAAAACATATATAAGTCGCTTCAGCGTATATGTCACTGGACTGGCAAATTTATTCAAAAAACTGTGACATATATGCCAGAAAATACGGTAAGTAAAAATAATGTTGATGAGGTTTCAAATGTTTCTTGAGCCCAACGGCCCACAAACCTGCCCCAGTTTACACTAATAGACTTTGACAAAACATGATGCAGCTGATCATCACATTGGATTGACAATGATTTTTAAATGAAGGCTATGTGCTGAACCTTCTTAGTTCACATTTATGATAATTTACACAAAGCAGAAAGGTGGTACAAACTGAGATACAGCTGCTTTTATTTAAGATGGACTCAAAGTTGCAGACTTATTCAAGGATTTGATTATTGACGTGGCTGAAGTGAGAGCTGGCAAAGCACAAAAAAGGGAACTGAAAGACAAAAATAACGACGAGGCAGCAAAAAACAAAACACCATGAAGCAAAATCATAAGAAGGACAAAGCTGGGAAACAAACCAGAACGACTGACTGAAGAACCAGGAATATAAGCATGCTGTGGATGATGAGAAGATTAAAAACAGCTGAGACTAATGAGCTAGGCACCAGAGACAGGTGTGAGTGAAGATGTGAGGTGGCTGCGCTAAAAGAAACCGATGCCACTGAGAACACAAGAGAACTCAAGAAACAACAAGGAAACACAGAAATTAAACATAATAACAAAACCCAAAACAGTGAACACGATGCCGGTGAAGATTCTCAGTCATCCAGGTCATGGTCAAACCAAAAGAATTTGAAAAGAAAAAGCAACTGGACTTCTATTCTGAAGCTGAAGATGTTTCGCGTCCCATCCGGTAATGATAAAGCCTCCCAGATGGGAACCAGAACGTCTTCAGCTTCAGAATAGAAGCCCAGCAGTATTTTTTTTAAAGCTGTCTCCGTGAGCCATTTTCCTTCTAAATGATTACTGTTCAATAAATAAGGATTTATAAGGAAATAGTCCATGGGACAGTATATATTTATGATTTTACTGACCCATCTGTTGACCTGCTGATGTCCTGTTAGTTGCTCAGCATGACACAGTTTATGTTTTAGATGAAGGACAACACATTTATAACTCAAGTGTGAATAGTGATCCAACAAAGTTAAGTCAGGTCCTCTGGACGGTTTCTTTTTTTTGTTGAAACGTTTCGTCTTTCATCCAAAAGACCATCAGTCCAAGGAGCCACAACAAACTCAGTCCCATAGCAGCACACTCACATAGTGGGCTGACCAGTTTGATGGTGATAAGATGGTTTCTGGAGTCCACCCTACTCCCGTCGCCTCGTATCATTTGACTGTGATATTAGTGTAAAATATTGTGATAACAAAATCTGTTGCAATATATTTATTTTTCTATAAAACAGAAGACTCCAGTCCTAACTTGTTTGTTGTCTCAACATCAAGAGCTAAACTTCTGAGCTTGTTGATTTGAACCCAAAGAACCCAGTTTGTGATGTTCAGGAACTGCTGCAGGTTTGCAGGACGAGGGTTATTAATGTCTCCTTGTCCGTACAGTTACAAAGCTCACTCTGTGTTTAGGAAGCATGCTGTGAATGAAAACTCCAGAAGTCCCACCCACATCCTGAACAAGGACTTTCACCTCGTTTCACCAAGGTTTTGATCTTTAATGTAACCATGCGTCACTTCTTCTGTCGTTAGAGCACATCCACAATCACAGGTTTTCACAGCAAGCTGAAATGACCGTTATAAATCCCAGATAACCAGGGTTTTAGTCACATCGTGACAACTTAGATAAAGTACATGCCGGTTTGTGTAAAATGAGAACTTAGCAAACAAAGTCAACAGATTTAGTTTTCCTTTAAAAAAAATGGAAGGTGGTGTAAAACAGTTAATAGTTAAGCCGTTATACAACAACATAATGAGGTGAAAAAATTAGAAACATCAGTGCAGTCGAAAGGCTTTAATAGTTAGCAATATACAAAACTGCAAACTAAAGCGTTCTTTTTGTCTTGTACAGCACACACTTCTTCCAGGAAGAGCTTACCTTCATTACAGTATGTCCTGATTCTTCTTTGTTGAAACTTTTCATCTTTTATCCTAAAGACTTTTTCAGTCTAAGGAGCTGCAACAAACTTCATCTTATAAACAGCACCTTCTCGCAGTGGATCAACCAGTTTGTTGGTGACATCCAGAACTAGTTGTATTAAAGGAGGCCCACTGACTGATCGTTAGTGCCCTGATGGCCGCTTGCTATTCACAGAGAGCTGAGTGATACTGGCAATAACAGCATTGTAACATGGGACAGTTGAACACGGAGGCCTCCACTCCTGCTTAATGATGGACAGTATCTCTTCACAAATATGGCTTCCTTTACTACTCTCTCAAACCATTGCTCCTTTCTATCAAGGATGTGAACATCTTGAGTGTAGACTGCAGAGTCCTGGCCTGATGATGTTGCTCTTCTGTGCTGGTCCATCCTTTTGGCCAGTGGCTGTTTAGTTTCCCTGACATTGATCACAGCCCTCCTGACACTGAACAACATGTTGCTCTGTTTGTGCCGGGGGACTGGATCTTTGGGATGAATCAATCTTTGCCGTGATGTATTTTGGGGTTTAAACGCCACTGGGACGTTATGTTTAGAAAATAAATGTCAGTTTCTCTGAAACTCCTGCAACATATGGAATGACCACTGGTCTGGGTCTGGGTTCCTCCTTTTCACCTGTTGGCTGACTGGAGTCCTGTTTGGGTTTCTTCTCTGCTTTCAGGAAGGCCCATTTAGGATATCCACATTGCTCCATGGCCTGTCTTGTGTGGAACTTCTCACTGGCTCCTGAGTCCGTTCTGTGGTACAGAGTCCTGATGACTCTTAACTTGTGCTCCAGTGGATGATGGGAGTCAAACCCTGGGATGTTGCATGCGAACAACTAGTTTTGGCTGCCACCAGCAAACTGATTGATCCACTATGAGAAAGAGCAGTTTATAAGACTTATAAGTTTGTTGCATCTTCTCAGACTGAAGAAGTCTTTTGGATAAAAGATGAAACGTTTCAACAAAGAAGAATCTGTTCAGAGGACCTGACTCAGCCTTGTTAGAATTACTTTCATTACCTTCAGAATACCTTGTAGAATTATCTCACTCAATAAAATCTCATTGAGTTAAAGTGTGACATAATGAATGATGACTCGAGTAATCTTAATGAAAACATCCTGAAATAATCAAAGTTCATGCTCAATAGTCCAGGTAAATATCTCCAGAAACATAACAGGACTCCAGAAACCATCTTATTACCATCAAACTGGTTGGCCCACTATGTGAGTGTGCTGCTTGTGGGACTGAGTTTGTCCTGGCTCCTTGGACTGATGAAGTCCTTTGGATGAAGGAAGAAATGTTTCAACAACAAAAACAAAAAAGAAGAAACCATCCAGATGACCAGACTTAATTTTGTTGGATCCTGAAATAATGTTTTTTTTTGTTGTTTTTTTGTTAAAGAATAAAATTGTTTGATATTCTCAAATGTCAGAACAGAAACTTTATAAAGTGATATGTAGTCTGACTTTTATTCAAACTAATAAAGATACAATTTAGCAATTATGAAAGTACAATGGAGACAATGTGGTTCCTGAAAAACCTATTGACCCTGTTCAAGAGAAAGTCCTGTTATCCAGAAGCGATAGGATGTCTCTGTTTATAAAAGCAGAATCTAATTAAGATGAGTTACAAAAGAAGGTTTATGATCTCCCTGACTAATCCAGATTCATCATCCATGTTATAAATGTCCAGTCTGTTGACAGTTCCCTCTTTCTACAACCTCTCTGTTGACCTGCAGCAGTTTAACCATACCTGCTGTCACTTAGCAGCCTCATAAATGTCTCTTTGTTTAAAGGTAAAGGTACCTTTGCCTCATTTTTTTGCTCACATGAAATTCGAGATTGCACTAAAATGAAACTGCATTTTACAACTGAACCCCCGCAGTCAGGCCGTTCTTTTATCTACGGAATGTGGACGTGTTTCTTCAGGTGCAAAGTGCGACAGGTTTTCACTTTTAATCACTCTGGGGTAGTGGCCGCATGATGTTCAAGATGCAAGTTTTCCTTTTCTTGTTTCTAAGACAAAAGTAAAAGGCCCACATGAAATCCATGTCCATAATAATGAGCTATTGTTGTGTTTTATGATTGTTAATTAGGCTCCCATTTTGGTGCCTGTGCATGTTTACAGTTCTGCGTTGGGATATCATTGGTTATTATACACAAACAGAACCTTCCTGCTGTTATAGCTGCTGCTTGTTTATCTTTATTTAAAATAGCCTCAGTCTGCAGATGAAATGCTGCCTGTTCTACATCTCTTTGATTTACACCGGCTCCATCAAAGCTTCCTTTATACGTCTTAAACAGTTTTGTGGAGCAGTTTTTTGCCTGATTGTCAAGTTTCCCCACACCTCTAATGGCTCATTAGAAGTGAAACCTTTGAAAACAGAGCAGAAAGTTGATACTTTTCCGCTATAAAGATATGAAAAGGTGGCAAACATCTCCAGAGGGAACAAAGGTTATCAAACTGCACACAGGCAGACAACAGCTGGATTGCAGGAAAAATCTGGAAAACAATTTAAGTTCTCAAGCATTTTCTCCTACTGCACTCATGATATCACTCAAAAACACACGTTCTTCCTGTAATTTAACAGATTTCTTTCTTTATTTTGTTATCCCTGCATATTTTTTCTTGACTTTTTTGGTGTTTTTTCTACTCACAATGCGAGAACACAAACCTCTTTGTTGTTTTTTAGAGTATGCAGGCGGTGGCTCGCTGTACGATTACCTGTTGAGTGACGAAAGTGAAAAGATGGACATCGGACAAATCATGAGCTGGGCTGCCGAAATCGCTAGAGGTACATTTAAGATTATTTTTTCCCCCCTTAAATAAGACCCTAAAACCAGGAAAATCTTCTGACTGACTGTGAATTGGAGGAAAACCTGGATGTGTATACAGTTGTAAATGAAAGGAATCTAACTAAATGTTTGGGAAATATTAAAACGACTCTAATCTTAAAACAGATTATATTATATTATTTGACTTTTTGCTTTCTGGCTTCTTTGGTTCACTGTTTTCACATTGACTTTAGCAGAAAATGTGTATTTTTACTTGAAAAGATGATTAAACCAAACAGAAACTTTGACATTTTTTAATTCAAAACAGTTCCACATCGTAGCTTATTGCTGATACGTTCATAACGCAATCTGCAACTTTGCAAAGTGACATTCCAGTGAAACTTCCTCTGAAAACGTCCTTCTTTTTTCTATTCCAGGAATGCATTATTTGCATTCAGAGGCCCCCGTTAAAGTCATTCACAGAGACTTAAAATCCAAAAATGGTAACTGAATTTCTCTTAATATATACTTTGTGCTAAATTGATTGGTTGCGGAACATTTCAATCTTTTTCATTGATTTTTACAACTGTTCTTTGTTTCTTTTAGTTGTTTTAGCTGCAGACAAAGTTCTCAAGGTTGGTATTTAATCTTACTAAAGTCTCTGAAGCTCAATCAGAAACACATAAAATACTCTATGTTTAACTAAATCTGTGCTGTGTTCTGGTAAAGCAGAAAAAAATCATCTTATTTATCTGCAGCACATGGACACAAGAGGGCAGTGACTAACTTTACATATACTAAAACAAACTTGTCACAGAGTGTGTACTTTGTGATTTAGTAAAAGATGTTTGAATAGACTAGCTAAAAAACGAACATTATTATATAAGACCCTTAAATAAACATGTCCTTATCCTTTTATTCCTCATCAAAATGAGCTCAGTTCATTATTGTTGAAATCATTTTAAGTTCGTGCAGAATCAGGTGCCAGTTTGCACCACTAATATAATCCACAGATTAAGGGGTTTAAATTGGTCTTTGCTTTGAAATTTGCTCTTATTTAGATTTTTTTTTTCAATCATTCATTGTGACTTGATGTATTACAGAATAGATTTTCATTTATAATAGTTTTTTTCTTTACAAATATACATTTCTGTTCAGCTAATTGCGTATTAAGTTCACACTGAAAGCAAGCCAATGGATATCACAGTAAACTAAACTAAATATACTGATTTGTTTTCAACACCTCAGATTTGTGATTTTGGAGCGTCTAAGTTCCTGTCGCACACAACACACATGTCTTTGGTGGGAACATTTCCCTGGATGGCCCCGGAGGTCATCCAGAGCCTCCCTGTGTCCGAGACGTGTGACACCTTCTCCTACGGTGTGGTGAGTGGCATCACGAAAAACACTTTGCTATAACTTGAGAGTGATACGTTGTGCGTTATTCAAGATAAACACGATCTATTTTTGTCCACAAATATGTCAAGTAATGAGCTTTAACTTAAAATCCTGCAGCACTTGTTCCTAATTTGAAAGAAATTTAAAAACAGAGGAACTCTTATTGTGAAGGCTGGGACAGCACTGTTTCCTCTGATTCTAGCTCTGGTTGATCTCGGCCTTCACAGCATGTCACTAAAATACTTTCAGTTTCTCTATTCAGACTTTTAGTTTTACTAGTTTTAACTAGTTTGTAATATGATTTATACGTAATTGATTTTGTGCTTCCTCTTAGTAGTTTTTTTAAATTCATATAAATAATGTTAAATTCTGGGAATTTGTATGAAATATCAAAAATATTTCTAAGCGTGCTTGACAAGAGCTAATAGCCTGAGCGGAAGAAATTGAAAAGCATTTTGTTTCCAAAAGAAAGATTTGATGGACAGGCTTTTTATTTCTGCCTGGAAAGTTTGACCAAATATGGTGAACACATTTTTAGGAAATCGCACTTAAGATTTTGCATGGCCATCACGTGCTTGTCCTGAAAATACATTTTTATGTTTCTAACATGATTTATTAACAGTGCTGTGCAAAGTTTTTCTATGATAACTGTCTAAAACGCTGTAAAGTGAGAGTCCTTGCACAAGTTTAAAACCTAATTGTGTTGTATCATTTAATAATACAAATTAAACAAACAGAAGAGAAATCCATCAGTATTTTGTGTCTTTTACCTTTAAAACAACATCACTTCTTCTGGCTACATTTGGACACAGTTTTTTAAAGAACTCTGAAGGTTGGATGTTCAAAAACATCTGGGAGAAATCAAAACACAGATCTGTCTTCTGCAGATGTTTCGTGCTCTGATCCTTCTCTCATTATATAATCCCAGACACCCTTGAAGGTGATGAGACCGGAGCTCTGTGCAGAACGTACCATCACTTCCAGCACGCCTGATTTTTTACATTGAAATTTTTCTTGACACTGCGAAAATGTTTGGGGTTGTTCTGGTGCAGACACAATTTGGGAACAATTTGGTGCCTCCCTGATGGTATTCACGAGGGATAGTTACCTGCTTGTATTTCTCAGCAGTGAGGACAACAACGATTAGCAGGAATGCAACCTCAAACATTCAAGGAACCTTCACCATGTTTCACTCATTATTGTATCGCTCTCCAATCTTTTGGTGAACAAGCCAACCATTTCTAGTTTTGGTTCATAAATGGACTGGTCATGTTTTCATGTTGGAGGTTTGACTTTTTTGGCTGCATCTCTTCCATGAAGACCAGTTCTTGTCAGACTTCCCAAGCCAGTAGGTGGATGTACCTGGGTCCTACAAGGTCCTGCCAGTTCTGAACTGATGGCTCCACTGGGCAATTTCTGAAGTTTTGTTGACTCCTGTCGGGAGAAGTTGATCAATTTTGTTGAGAGACCAGCTGAAACTTCAAAGTAGGAGGTATTCGAAGGTTCAGCTGGTCTCTCAACAAAATTGATGTTAAATGTTAAATTGTCCTCAGTAGTTCTTACTGGGGGACCCCAGGGAGTTCCCAGGCCAGAGAAGACACACAATCTCTTGAGTTCTGGGTCTTCTTGGGGGCCTCCTACCAGCGGGATGTGACAGGAAATCCTGTAAAGGGAGGCGAGGCGTTCAGGAGGCACCCTAATTGGCTGTCTTAACCACCTCAATTGACTCCTTTCAATGCAGAGAAGCAGCGGCTCTAAGGCCACCCTGCGAAGGAAGCTCATTTCAGCTGCATGTGTCCGGGATATTGTTCTTTCGGTCATGATCCAAACCTCATGACCATATGTGAGGAATGGAACGTAGACAGGTGAGTAAATCAAGAGCTTTGCCTTTTGTCTCAGCTCTGTCTTCACCATGACTGATCGAAGCAACGCCCTCATTATCGAGGATGGGGCCCCAATCCTTTGATACATCTCCCACTCCATTTTACAACCATTCCTGAACAAGACGCCCAAATACTTGAACTCCTCCACCTGAGGCAAAGATGGAGGAACTTGCAGTTTCAATTAGAAATGGATTTGATCAGTCCTGAAAGCTCTTGACTATATTTAGAAGAACAGTAGTATCAGAATCAACTTTAATCTCATCACTGATCATATAAAAGACGAATCTTCATAGCATAAAATAATTTTCAGATTTATGTGTTAGGTTTTATTTATAATGGCAAAAATTGTTTTTTAGGACCAGTTCCCCATAAAATGATCAGCAGGCATCTTGTCCTGGAACATGATCATTGTAATTTTAAAACGCATGCATGTCATGAGTAGCAGATGGCAAGAAATACAGGAATGTTTTACAAATATTAGGAAAAAAAAGCTTTTGATTTTGAAAACGAGTGAGCTGCAGCTGAAAATTACCTAAATTATAAGGGGGTGGTGACACATTTTGTGTGGAAAGAAATATTTTTGATCTAATTGGTTTGTTGATTTTGGTCTCAGAGAAGATTTCCGTATCTTTGATGTTTATCTGTTCAGTGCATGAACACCTACCATATGACATAAACAAACAAAGCATAAGAAAGGCAAAAATACATGAGTTTATGTGAAGGTATTAATATTAATTAAACTTTGATCTTTTTCTGCCGACTGAAGAATAAAAGTTTAAATCCCTGTTAGACAATTTAGTGTTAAGAAGAGTGTATTGTGCCATTTGATGCAGGCAGTAACCCCAGTTAAAATGTTTACTGCTGCAATTGAGAGCGCACGGCAGCGTATTACTGGAATAAAACCACAAAGTCTTAAAACACACAACTTCACATAACAGTAGGTTTATTTTCATCCAAGTGGTTTAAAAATTAACCAAAATGTGTGGTTGAATTGGTTGGAAAGAATATGATTATGTCAGATTTCATAAATTCATTGCACTGTAAAATCCTACATGTAGGTGTATGAAGGTTTATGAGTTAAGTTGACAATCAGATGAGTCAAATATGATTAGGAAAATCTACTGTGGAATATGGAAAATAATTCATGAAAATTTGAATAATGTGCAGAAAACTCCTGGAGGATATCGAAGGCAGTAAAGTATACATTTTTATTGTAAGTCTTGATGTTTTTCTTTCTCTCTTTCTGCAACAGGTGCTTTGGGAAATGCTCACCCGTGAGATCCCCTTTAAAGGCCTGGAAGGCCTACAGGTGGCCTGGCTCGTCGTGGAGAAGAATGAGGTATTTTACTTTGGCCTTGAATTCACGTATGTACACAGAACAGTCCTGAGTGGTGACTGGACATCTCTGTTTCTTAAACCTCTTCACTTCTCACTGTGGGTTGGGAGTTCCAGGCTTAAAAGTTGTTAAAAGGATCACAGTAACATGGCTAAGGTCCTGAATCGCTGACCGATCCCTCCATCCTGAGAGATATTTGATTTGTTTCCATTTGTTAAATGCTACCTAACAGCTAACATGTGTGTTGTTTTGGTCCCATTTCAAAATGTGAATGATTGTGAAACCGCCTGGAGAGAAAAGTAGAGAGTAACATTTTTCTAATATCAGCTAAGTCTTAAGATTGCTTTCCATAGAAACATGTTTAAAAGTGCTATTTTGGCTGGATCTGTGTAGAAACGAGTCGGAGACCTTTTGAGAAACAGCTGATTTTGCCTTTGTATGCCATAGAAACCAAAACAACAAAGAAGCAGTATTTTTTTTATTTTTACTATTTCTAATTTCTTGGTATCTGTCTCATTTTATTCTTTATTCGTCACTATTACCTCTTCATCATGTGCTGAAATGGTTAATAACAGAGATTGTAATTATATTAGAGGAAAATTTTTTGCCAAACAAAACATGTTCTTTCTTTGTATTTTAATGTCATTGATGTCAATGCCCTCGTCACTAGTGGGGGATATTTTATCATTTCTGTTAGAATTTCATGTGCAAAAGTCTTAATACAAACAAAAAATATACATATCTGGTGTAGTGTATATGCGACTTGAATCAATATTCTTACTTCAAAACAATAAAAATGGTAATATTATTGAAACAGTGTATGTTTCTCTTCTGGACTGTGTGTATTTCAGAGGTTAACCATCCCAAGTAGCTGCCCATCCAGCTTCGCTGAGTTCATGAGAAAGTGCTGGGCTACAGAGCCAAAAGTAAGTCACTTTAAAACCCATATCCACACTATGTATGTTCTTATTCCATTCATATACAGAGCAAATGTTTTAATATTCATGTAGGAAAGGCCAATGTTCAGGCAGATCCTGTCTACCCTGGAGTCTATGTCTCAAGACAGACAACTTCCTGAACAGTGCAACTCTTTCCTTCACAACAAGGCTGAATGGAGGTAATGCGATCAGCTTCTCTCCACAGCCTGTAAATGTATTTACGATGCTTTTTTTTTTCTTGCGAATATACTGCCTCAGTCTCAGATAATGTGCAACTGTTTGGAAAGAATGATGGGGAAATGTAGCTGATGGGGGCCACGAAGCACAAAAAAGAACTTGAGATCGTGCATATAGATTCTTAATAATTACACTGATAGCTACATAAAGACATGAAAAACCCCCAAAGAATGATCCATCTGGATATACTTCCTCTCTTTACCCATAAGACCCTAAAAATAATCACCATCTTTTTCAAGTAGAAGTGTTTAATTGGCCTGTATGAGCAGCTGGATGTTTGGTGATGTTCAGCACAGCCTGAGTCTCAGCTGTCACTTTATTCTCTGTCTGCCTCTCTGCGGGCCTCGTCTGTGCACCGACTTTCTTTTTTTTTTTCTTCAGAAGTTGTGTTGATAGCATCATGTCCAGATAGCTCTTTTTTTTTTTTTTTTTTTTTGCAGGTGTAGCATGCTGGGGTGAATTTAAAATTCTGGAAAGCAGAAAGTGAAATATGTAACACAGGAAAAACTAACAAGTTTACTAACGTCTGGTGAAAGATGAGACTTGTGGCTGATCAAAAGAGAGTTGAAGCTAAAACAGACATGACAGAGAGGTTTAATGTTGCCTGGAGCAGAGAAACATGGGATTTCTCTCAGTTTTGTGCACAGTTCATGGGGCTTCAAATGAAACATTGCTTTTGGAGAAAGAAAAATTAAGTTCCTTATTCCATTTTCCCTTTGAGTGGAGGGTCTGATTGTGTAGCTGCTCCAGTTTGTTGCAGAAACTTTGAGACTTGACAGTTATGAGCTGAAGGATACTTAAAAAGAAAAATACATCACATAAAATAGTTTTATCAAAGAGCAAACCACACATTTCTGCAGCATTGAGTGTGTTTTAAAAACACTTCATTGTGTACAGCATTAAACAATGAGAAAATGGTGGATCATGAGGAGGAGCAAGACTTGACCTTCCTGCCAGGTTCACATGCGTTTATGATTACAATTATTATTTTTTTATATAATTATTATTGTGGGACCACACCATGCAGCTCCACCTGCTGGACAAAATAAACTTCCCAAGAATGAGTTTTGATTTGTTTCTCATATCTAACATTTTTGGGTTTTAATGGTTCTGTACAACAGTTTTACTTGAGCTCAGTTAATATAGTATTAATATGCATTAGTGTGCAAAAGTCTGACCATAAGCTTTACTTATTTATTTTTTGCTTCCAGTTCTTTCTTAAGGTCTTTCAATTTTTTTCTGCACTTTTGTTTTTACATCTGTTTTACAAATTGTAATGCAGTGTGTCCTTCAAAATAAGAAAAATGGACAGATGGACACAATAAAATACAGCAGATGAACAGAATATGAAAGTCATGTTTTAGAAACAGGGACAAAAAAATCAGTAAAGACCTGAGAGATGCATCATCGTTCAGTCAGTTCTTCTACTGTAGGTCAAGTTTTCAGCTAACAGCTCTTCTAGAATCACCTTGTTGGTCTTAAAATTCATTTTATATGTCCTACAGTGTTATCTTTTCTAAAGTTCATATTTTCAGCTAATGAAATGGGAACAAGCTGTGACTTTGTGGTAACAAAATGCCTAAAAATCCAATTTAAAACAGATTCTATGTTAAACTGTTGACATAATCCTGGTTTAGCCTTTGACTTTGGAAGTTTTTTCAGAGTTAAGTGGCTTCAAACAAACCAAACTAATCCTCTGAATATAGTCAGGGACAAGGATGGGACAGAAAATGAGAGAAAAAGTTGCAAATGTCTAATGAAATACTTTAAAAGAGATTCAGAAAGCCTGAAGAAATAATGTTCAAGACCAGTTTACATTGTTACAAAAAGGTCTGATTCCTTCATATAAATTTTTTTATTAAAAAAGGGCAATTTATGACTTTTGCAAAGTATTATATATTACTGCACATTTTCTTTAAAACATGAACTGTGCTGCTTGTTTGACAATAGTTCATTATCAACAATTCAACGTGTTTTTGAACAACATAAACCAACAACAGTAAATTATTAGCCAATCCACAGGTATATCTGTTTATGGACACAATTGATTTTCTAATAAACATTTTCTCAAAAAAAAAAAAAATCTGTAAAAACTCTTGACTTCATCCAGTCTTGAAACCTAGCTTGTGGTGTGTTGTTGTGTGTCGAAGGTGTGAGATCGAAGCAACTCTCGAGAGGCTGAAGAAGTTGGAGCGAGACCTCAGCACCAAAGAGCAGGAGCTGAAGGAACGAGAGCGGCGGCTAAAGATGTGGGAGCGTAAACTCATCGATCAGTCCAACAGTCCGGTGAGTCCCTCGTCATCTCCATCCTTCAGCTCCAGAATAAACAATGCCACTGTCCAGTCTTATTGATGGAGACACCAAGAGTGCTTACAAGATGATGCACCCAGAGCATCCATTTGTAGAGTCACACATGGTCCTGTTGCTTATCTACAACCTTCATTGGGCGAGAGGTGGGGTACCACCAAGACAGGTCACCAGTCCATCGCAGGACCACATAGAGACAAACAACCACCACTCTTCACTCCTATAGTGACTCCTTAGAGAATAAATTTAAGCTAACATGCAAGTACAGTAGTCCCTCCTTTACCGCGCGGGGATCCATACATATATATAAAGCCATTTTAAACCCTTTCCACACTCTTGCAATGTTCTAAACAATGTTTCTAAACGCTCTTAAAGAGCACAGAATGTCATGATTTCAGCTCTCTGCCTCTCTGCTCTGTGCCACCTGCAAGCGCTCTTGGCCACGCCCACTTCTCCGCTTTGCTCGGTGAACAGCTGATCAGCTGCAGCAGGAAGTTTATCCTGCAGTGTGGGCTGTACAAAAGTGCAGGAGGTGCTAAATATTTTTTAAATAATTTATTTTAAATAAAAATTTCACTACCTGTATAAGTAAAGGGTAAATGAAAAAAAAGTTGTGTGTCATGTCCAATCTTATTGAGAAAAACTGCGATAGAGCGAGTCCATGATAAACGAACCGCAAAGTAGCGAGAGACTACTGTATTTGGACTGTGGAGAACTACAGAAATCCTATACACATACATTCAAGAAAACGCAAACTCCACACAGAAAGTCCTGCTGGGACTCGAACCTGCAGCCTTCTTGCTGCAAGACAACAGCGCTTAGCAGCTGTGTCACCGTGCAGTGTAGTACAACATACTACACATTTTTAACCTGATTTTCTTTGTTTGTTTGTTTTTTTAAATTTCATTTCTTTTTAGTTCTGTAAGCACAAAATCATGTAATACTTTAAAAATCACATAAAATATACTTCAAAGCTGAAGTCTGCATTTAATTGAACTGGTGGATCATTCAGATACTGCATTAGAAAAAAAAAAATAATGCTTGTTTTGTGACATTTTAGTTGTTTTACCTGTTTCATTATAAATCAACTACATTTGAAAGTTTCTTTTATTCCTTAATATTTACATAGTGTGTAACCACATGCCATGATGAGATAAAATGCACAAGTTTTCATGTCACTGTCTCACAAATATATTGTAATGCAGGGTAAGCTGTTTATCATCCTTTCAGTTTGGTTTTTGTATTTTATTATAGTTTTCCGAGCCTGTGTTAGGTCAGTAAATGCAGCGCAGCCATCTAGACAATGTAGCATCGCGAGATATGTATGTTCAGTGCTCTGTTGTATTATTTGGGTTCTCATGGCTCCCTGCATGGACTCTGCAAAACACCGTCTGTGACTGAGCTCGAGTCTGAAACGACACCATGTTTGAGTCAGAACAACTCAGCTGCCATTGTAACTTACCTGTTACTATACGAAGTGAAGTTCATGAAGGAGATCCTTTTCTTTGTCGTGTATCTTCACGTACCAACACACCTCCATCGCCGCACCGGAAGGCAAAAGCACAACAATACAAACACAATGACAACACATAGTTTTATGGTTTGAAATTGAAATAGTAATTTTTTTCATAATTTAAAATAAAACTTGCTTTTGTTTTGTTTTTATATCTTTTCACCACGAATTATTTTTGTATATTTCACCTTTTAACTATCTTACGTACAGTTTTGAGTGTCTAGATTTCTTAATTTTATTTTTTTTTTAACACACAAGACTACCGTATTTTCCGCCATACACGTCGCACCACCTTATAAGTCGCATTAGTCTAATATGGCGAATAAAGTGGAACAATACATAAATATGCTGCTTCGCCATATAAGTTGCTTCTATAACTCATCACCGCTGACAACCTGGAAATGCGGGCTGGTGTTGTGCCAAAAATTGATTGGCTGCCAAATGGCAGCTGCGAGAGCATGCACAGGAGAACTTTAACAATATCAACACTTAAAAACAATTGTTTGTTTGCTCGAAATTATAGTAAAGGTGTGTCTCAGTTGAACTTTTACTTAATAAATGCACTTTGACGTCAAATCAGCTGCATTTCAAAAGCCGATACGCGGAAGCGAGTGCGCGCAGAGGGACGACTCGCTGTGCATTTCTTTGTAATTTAACAATATAACCACCTAAAACAATTGTTTGTTTGCTCGACATTATAGTAAAGGTGTGTCTCAGTTGAATTTTTACTTAATAAATGCACTTTAATGGTCAAACTAGCTGCATTTCACCGGAGCAGCGCAGTGAAATGAAGCTGATTTGACGTTTGCTCCAGGCGTAATCCCAGAGCTGGACAAAGGTGGCAGTCTATGGCAAGCCGATTGTGTCATTAATAGCCACTTTTACCTATTACATGACAACGACATGCCATACTACTCGAGTGCCATCTAGTGTCAGAAAATGGTACTGTTCAATATTTTCAATGTCAGAATGAATGAAAACAATCATATCTCAGCCAAAAATTGGTTTATAAATATGGGATGAAAACCCAAATATGTCGCTTCAGTGTATAAGTAGCGGGGCATGCAAATTATGAAAAAAACTGCAACTTATTGACTAGAAAATACGGTAATCAAAAATTGTATTTATTTTCAATCTTTATTACCTCTTTATGTTCTCACCTCACTGCTCTTTACACTGAGAAACATTGAGGGTCAGGATACGTCTCTCTGTGACCACAGCGACTGCTTAGTGTTTAGTCTTTGATGAGTTATTCTACTTTACTTTATTCTACTGATGCGAAAAGACAAATGCTTGTTAATTTGTGTAAATAATTTTGTACTTTCCTACATCGTATTTATTAATCTCACAACACTGTGCTTTGTGTGCACAATGCTCATCCACTAATAGCCACATGTTACACCAGAACCCAGTAATGATTTCTCAAATATATTTTAAAGCCCCCACCTGTGGATATTATGGATGTCATTTACTGTAAGCCTAATGTTGGGGATGTATAGTGGCATGCTGTGAAGAAACAGCCGCAGGAGCCGCTGCTTACAGAAGGCCACGCTTTTATGATGAAGTGACATTTTGCTGACATTAAGATTGGCCAATTTGTTCTGGATGTGGTGGAGTGCAGTTGTTGAGACGCAGTCTCTTACCAGGATGGGAAAGTATGTTTTTTTTATTCTTTTCGTCTTCTTTTTTTCTGACTGATCTTGGTTCAGAATAGTAGAGAAGCTTCATTCTTGTTTTATTTTCCAGGCAACTTTTCAAAGCAAGTTTTTGCCAAAGTATTTGCAGAAATTAATTTTAACAGAGCAATCCACTTCTTTAGGTTGAATGTTGAGTTGCAACAAAGAAAAGAATAGAAGCTTTGGCGTTCGCGTAGGTATTACACGTCATCTGGGGAAGGACATGCTTCTTTGAGCATAGCCCATTAAATTGTCCCCTTTGCTTGTTATAATCAGTCAGTCTCAAGAGGAAGTAATCCTCTGTTCTCCTGTGTTTCTGCTTGTTAGTTCTAATACTCGCACATCATGTCCATTCCTGCACCATCAGGTCCCAGACGTTGTTAGATTGAACACAACAAATAGACCAGATCCTCGGCTTTGTTTGCATTTCGCTGAGCAAAATTCAGAAACCTCCAGGCATCCCGAAACAGTCAGCCTTGAAATGTAACATTTCTCTGAATTCAAACGACTTCTCACACAGTTTCACTGTAAAATACGTTGCTTAGGTTTACAGTTTTTTGTTGAATCTTTTCACGTGACATTAACTTTTTACCACTTCATAACTTACGGCCTGGTTCTTTGTCACCAAAGTGGAGGCAGAATTGTGTGAAGTTGTGCAGATTTCCATACAGATCCTAAACAAAGCAGATACTTTAATGGATGTTTTGGCCAACATCTGTACTTTTAGAAAACTGGAACTATTTACAGCTGAGCTGAAGGAAGGGAAACGCTCAGGCAGTCCGAGCGTAAATGTAAACCAGAATTCTGTTGGAGCTTTTTTCTTCGCGTTATGTTTGACTTTTCAAACCAATCTCATGTTCAGATGATCAAATCTGTATTTTGGCTGTCATGTTTTTGTTTTCACGTCAATATATCAATATATATTTCTGTTGGTAGACCTGTAGTCATCAACTGGCAGCCCGCGGGCCATATCTGGCCTCTGAGCTCACACCGTCCAGTCTGCAAAGTAATAACCGTATTTTTTGGGCTATAAGGTGCACTTAAAGTCCTTTAATTTTCTCAAAAATTGACAGTGAGCTTTATAATCCAGTGCACCTTATGTATTCTGGATGTGCTTACTGACCTCGAACCGGTTTTATGTGGTTATTGTGAATGAGTTGAATAAAGTTTGACTTATCTGTTTTGTTTCACTTAATGCACCTTATAATCCGGTGTGCCTTATATATGAAAACAGACCCGTTCATTAGACCTGTCGTGATAAACAATAAATCAATTAATCACATGATAAGTGAAAATTATCAACCTCATTTTCATTTACCGGCTTTATCGTTTCTTTGTGTCTCTCTCTTTCTACTGAAGACACTGGAAGACAAGGTTCAACTACTGTGTTCTTCACTGACCCCTCCCTTTCTCTTTTCTTTTTAAAATCTGTTTTAACGATCCAAAATCACATTTTTGGATCGTTAAAAGCAGCTAAGCTGAGAAGCTAAGCTATGAGCTAAGCTAACAGGCCGACCTCAGGAACAAAACCTCTGTCTTGTCGAAGCTCCAAAATTCACAGTTGAAACCCTTCGTCTAAAAAGTTGTTTTGCTCTGCAAAAAGAAGCTGAGAACTTGTTTACTGATTGTTTATTAAAAGCTTTGTGTGAAAAATGCTATGCTAAAGAACTCAAACCACACCGAGCACCATTTTGAGAACTGAAGAGAGCCAGCCCATGTCACGTCAAGGGGCCTCCCTCCCATTTTTCTTAAAGAGACACGCTACTAGCTCCCTCACTATCCATCCTTTGTTGCAAACAGTCTTATACTGCCATCCGGTGGTCAAAAATGGTACTACACACAAAATTAACCTACATTTCTTCTTAAATTTGACAATAATTATTAATTATTGTCAAATTTCAAACAATATTATTGTTTATCGCAATAATTTTTAAGACAATTAATCATCCAGAGAAATTTGTTATCGTGACAGGCCTACCGTTCATTGATACTGCACCTTATAATCCGGTGCGCCTTATAGTCCAAAAAAATTGAAATTGAAAATAAATTATACATATTTTGATACAGGAATCAGTTGTAGACCAGTTCTGAAAGAAGTACTGACAGCAGTGAAATACAGAAGCAGGACATGCAGCCAAAAGCTTCTTACAAATTGTAGTTTCACAAAGGGCACTTTTTGCAGATGTAAGCGAAATGCTAAAGTTTTCTGTGAGATTGAAGCTAAACACAGTAGTGATGTTAAAATATTTGACTATGTTTGTGTCTAATACAGTCAAGCGAAAGTAAAACAATCCACCACCAACCCACATTCCCTCAGGTCTTAATGCTTCTAACTCAAAACCCTCATGTTAATTATTTTTCATCAGCTATGATCCTAGTTAACATTTATGAAAGTATGTTTTTACTATTGTATACTTTTGCTCAGCAAATCAAAAGTAAAGTCACAACAAAACCTCCCCAGTCAAAAAAGAAAAAAAGAAAGTGTTGACTGTTTAAAACCTTTATGAAATAAAACAGCATGGCAAATGTCATCTCTTCACGGCAGCAGAAATTTAAAAGAATAGAAAAAAGAAACCAGACCAGGCATAATTACCAGAAACATGGCTAATCAGAGACCGGCCCCCGCGCTGTCTGATTAGAAACAGTCAGGCTCTTGAGCAGATTTTGTTGATGACCCCTGATGTTGACCATTATGGGCGACTGTTCTTAATTGGAGAGCATAATAACTTAAAGAATAATGTTTCAATTGTTCGGAAGAGACAAGTATTTTTTATTTTTACGTTTTCTCAGAAAATATCTAAAATAAGCACACAATGTATTTACCGATCCATATTTCTTGTTTTTTCCAGCTGCTGCCCACTCTTGACATTTACACCTGGACTGAGGAGCATGTGGTCAGTGTCTCAGTATATTTTCTCTTGTAGTTGATTTAGATTTTTATGCAAATTTATACCACATATCTGATAAAACTATAACGTTTGTTTTTAATTCTGCAGTATTTTTGGATGCAGCACTTATTTGGTGCAGGTTTGTTCCTTCTTTTTCCTGAAAAATTGAGACTTCACCCCCTTCAGGCTCTTCACTGACCTGATTGTTTTCACCTTTTGCATCAGGGGACGGTACATGCGACATGCAGCATTATGCCAACCTGTTTAAAGACAATCACATCACCGGGGAGAGGCTGCTGCTGCTCACAGACCACGACATGCAGGACATGGGGATCAAGTCCAAAGGCCACGTCATGCACCTAAAGGTTAGGACACGCATTACATCTTAATTTGAACTGTTGCTTTGAGGTGACTGATACTGAAATTTTCCATTTGTGCAGGCTGAAATCGAAAAGCTAGCCAATGAATACCTTGGGTTTCTCCACTTCCCACCTCTGCTCAAGGTATCAAGCTTCTTCCTTATCCTTGAGACGTGTTTCTTCATTTGTTTTCTGCTCATATTTAGTTTCATTTCTTGTATTTTTCTTGTAAGGATGACTTGGAAAAGGAGGTAGAACAGAGCAAAACTGTAAATCTGGAGTTGGTGTTTGGGTTCCACTGGAAACCAGGAACAGGAAAGTCCGTAAGTTTGCAAAGAGACACACTTGAACACTGACTTCGACATGTTCTGCAGCTGCGAGCATCTGATGTGGCTCCTTATTGGCTCTATGAAACCAACAATTAATGAATGCCTCAAAGAAATGTTGAGCCTACTTTGTAGTTTTGGTAATGTTGGATACTTTCTCAGCCCGCTTGTGGAAGCTGTTTGTTCTGAAGATGCACAACGGCAGCCATCGAGGGCGACACTAGACATGTATTAAACCAGACAAATAAACATTTCATTCTCAGCCTTGTACCACATCCACCTCGACATGCTCACAGCCCTTTGTTAGGGTTTAAAACTGTGGAGAAAGGGTTGCTCTTCACTTGCCGTTTGAATTTAATCAAAAATAGCCCATTTAGCCAGAAGTCATTTTCTTTTAAAAGGCAAACGTTATTTAATCTTTCAGCTGTTCATTGTCCCATCATAAATAGTCCTCTTTCAGTGTGTTCGGCAGGGCTGAAACGAGCCTGCTAATTGCCTCCCATTTCTTCTGACATGTGGTGGTTTAGTGGGTAGAAAACACAGCAGGGAGAAGGAAACAGGAGGCTGAGAAAATGAGAGCTAATTATTTTCCCCTGCCTGGTGTCAGGTTCCGTGTCAGCCTTGTTTTTACAAACTGGAAGGTTTTTTTGCACTAAATAAAACAAACCCGCACTACATTTTTTTTTTCTCTTTGCCCCTCTTTGCTGGCGATGTCATGGAAGCAGCTGCACTTCTCAAAGACAAAATGAGGGCCTGCGATTGTGCGGCCACCATCTGACAGCCACTGAGGGTCCCCTACTAATGAGGATATCACCGTGCAGCCAAGTGAAAGGTGCTGAATTATGTATGAGTTGTCATTAGATGCACTTGGGTCCTAGGCATCATTACCAGACATTGTTTCTGCTGGAGTGATTAGAGTAGCGCGGACCTGGGAGCCCCGGTGCGACAGTCCAGGGCCGACACCAGGCCAGCGCGGGGGCCACTGGTGTGTTTCTGAGCCAGAGGCTTGCTGAGGCTTCCTCTTTGAGCCGTTTCCAGCCCCCGGGGACGATGAAGGAGAGGTCGAAGGCTCCACAGACGAGTGTGTCGGTGCCACTCCTCTGATGTCTCTCTCTGTGATCCCGACACAATGAAATGGCCTGTGCCATGAACCCAGCACGGCTAAGCAGTGACCTGTGGCTTCGTGGCCCACTTCTTTAGGATTGGAGGATTCATTACTGCCTTGTCAGCATTCTGTATGCAGAAGAAGAGGGATTGGCAACTGCTTTGATTTGTGCCTCCTGGTATGATGTGTTCAGCATGCAGCAGTCCGCACATTAAATCAACCTGTACCAAAACAATCATCCTTGTTTTCAAGAAATTTAAAATACATACAAAAACTCTACTAATGTCATTTATTTCTTCATTATTTATGATTTTAGTTTTGTTAAAGGTTTCATTTTCACAATATGTAGGTGTTATATACTCATTGCATTTCAAATCTGTTCTTCTGTCATATAACCATTTGTTAATAAACTCGGATCTGGTTCTTATTGTTCAAGAACCTGCCACTGCCAATAAACTACCTGTAGGTTGTGCTGTTGATTTATGTTCAGGGTTGTGCCATTTTCTCCTCCCCAACATATGCATTTAGAAACTTTTTGCATGCATTCAAATTGTTTTGGATTGCAACAATTATAAAGTATCTCACCAGACCTGTTTTTTTTTTCTTTCCAGGACTGCAAATGGAAAATGTACATGGAACTTGACGGAGATGAGATTGCTATAACCTACATCAAAGATGTCGTCTTTAATGCCAACAGACAGGATGTGGAAACTCTGCGAATGACTAAGGTATACTCAGAAAAAAAAAGTATTGCTTTATTGGACCTTTTCTTTTGTTTTATTTTGCTAAGTGCCTGAAATTAATGCTTATATTTTACCTTGTGTTTTAACTATGGTGCCAACTGTGTTTCTGTAAGAACTTTTAGGATTCTTTTCTTTTGATTTATTAGAGTTTTAAGTAAGAAAATGGATGTACAATATGTTGTGCACATGAAACTAGGCCCTGTGATGGATTGGCATGCCCAGGGTGTACCCCGCCTCCAGTCTAATGACCGCTGGAGTTAAGACACTAGATCCCAGAAAAGCAAATCTAGAAAATGGATGGATGGCACCAGAAGTACTAACTTTAATTTTGAAAAAAACTGGCCATGAAAAATGCAGCCACATGGCTTGCTGGTCACTTGGATGGAAACGCTCAGAACTCAACGCGACTGTAATAAATAATTTTACTGTTTTCTCGCAATGTTGAGTCGCTAGCTAGTTTCCTACAGTCGCAACCCAGTGAGATATTACCTTAAGTGCTTTTTTTTCTTTCTCAGCTTTTAGTGATTCACTACATCAGTCAGAACAGACAAATCTTTTCACGTCAAATATCAAATGTCTTTGAGAACTAAGAAAAAGTTGTCTTCAATTCAAGTGCAAATTTACGTTTAATGATCCTGTGTTCTTATGTTGCAGCCACCTTTTCTCATGGATAAGTGGATCGTTGGATTACAGCAGAACCAGAAGATAGACTACACAGTCAATTATGAGGCGAGTCATGAAACAAAACAGTACACTGGGGGAGGAGTAGATTCTTTACCTTAAAAGTTCGGTTCATTTAGTCTTTTTGTTACATTTTAGAATGATGTCAAGTCACCAAAGGTGACAAAACACAGCAGCATGGTGACATGGAGCCACAGTGGTGGACAAGATGAGATCAAGACCGTGGAGCTCGTCATTGAAACCAGCCCAGATGACATAGACCCCAGGAACGGCGCAAAATGTGGTAATTTATTATATTTTTAGTTTATGCTTTGACTTTAAAATAAAACAATAAAATAGTTAAAGTACAATCCATGTTCTTTGTTTAAAGACATAGATCCCATGTGGATGCGTAACGTAAGGCAGAGGCACATGATAACCCAGAAATCACAGCAGAAGACGGCCCCTCTGATGAGCTCCGAGGCCCGCACTCTGCCTCAGTTCCTCTCTGCGCACGAGAGCCAAGCGTCGTCTTACGCTGCAGCTGTGCGCCGCTCTCCAAACCACCTCCACCCATCTCCCTGGAACCACTCCCGCAGCTCCTCGCCAACCGCCAGCCTGTCGGCCAAGCTCTCGCCTCTCAGTCTCGGGTCGAAGGGCAGCAGTCCCTCCAGCACCACGTCGGAGAGCAACTCGGAGCGAGAACGACCACGCAGTGCCGGAGCGGCGCACGAGCACCGCAGGAGCAGCTACACGTTAGCTGCGGGATGGGGGCAGGGTAGGGGGCATGCATGGACAAATAATAGAGGAAGCAATAATCATAATAAGGCCAGCAGAGGCTCACGGCAGCCAGGGAGGCCACGATCCAACAGTTACTGTGTCACATTACAGAACCGCCCACCAATGATACCGGGTATATTGTCGGTGACAGGAAGCCCCAGTGAGGAAAAGGAGGGGGGCAAAGTCAGCGACGGAGGGTGGATCAAAGTGGAGCGTCAGAAAAGATTACCTCGTCAGGACAATAAACAGGTCAGAGGGCGGTCGAGGAGAGAGGGCAGGGGAGGGCGTGGTGCTGGTGGAAGACCATAATGTGGGCCACACAAAGAGCTGACAGCGTTTATAAACTGAACACGCTCTGAGAAGGTTTTACATATGAATTATACCCACTGACATGCTCATAACCAAACTACATGCTGCAAAAGAATCATAATCATGTTTGAAATGCTACCAAGTGCTTTTATATGTCTCTTTTTAGAATAATAAAATGCTCAGGCTTTATTTATTATGACTATAATAAAAACACTTATTTTTATGCCCTAATAGAAGATGACACCCACCATCATATACGTTTTAAAAATGCAAGTCATCACTAATTCTTCACAGATAGCAGCATTCTAAACGTACTAAAATAAAATCGATGTTTCAGAGTTGGTTTTTGTGTTCTGTCGTTTTTCTTTCTCTTAGTTTCTGAGTGTGTGTGTTTTGAACAGAAATATAGCTATTAGCATATGCTTTAAATAATAATCTTTGCCGTCAGCTTAAAGAGAAAATGCCACCCAAGTTATGTCTCGTTGCACATCATTTTTACATTTTTTTTTTTGTTTGTTTTTAGGTATACAGGGTGGAAGTAACGAATTACAATCACGTTACTGTAATTAAGTAGAATTTTGGGGTACTTGTACCTTTATGAGTAGTTCTTTCAAGTGCTTAATTTTACTCATACTCAAGTACAATTTAGACCATGTAATCTACTTCGCTACTTTTAAAATCAGAAGTCGCTACTGAGTACGGCCGTAATTTGAATTAATATTCAAACTGTTCATCTGCATCTTTGTAGCCAATAAGGCTCTCAGATCGAGAACGCACCAATTACCTATGACATAAGCAAAGGACAACTCTGTAGAGTAGAGAGTCATTTATGGACTGAAAATTTGGAGAAAAAGCCAAAATGGAGACAGAAGACAACACTGTCAACACAGAAAATGACGAGGTAAAGACTAAGGACGAGTGCCCGTGGCCGTACCTGGAGGAATTTTTCATCTATAGAGGCTTTTCTTGTAATTGAGTACAGTTTAAGCTGTGTAACAGTACTTGTACTTCAGTACAAATTTTCAGTACTCTTTCCACCGCTGGGTATATCTCATCACTCCATTTTATTCAGTTTTACCAAAGGAAAATGAATTCACGTCTTCTTGTTTTATCTCCTTGAATTGCTTTACAAAATGTAACGCATAAATACATTTGAATCAGAAAAGTCTAACAGAAGATATTTTACAAGGTTCTGCAAACTTTATAATCAAAAGAGCCATTTCTTATTCTCTAAATTACTGTATGTGTCCAGAGCTGCAACAACATGCTACAAATGTGAATATCAACCAGTGGCCCATGGACCACTTTAAGTTTGCTGAAGGTGGCTTTTCTGGCTAGTAGTGGTAACATTATAAAACTAAAAATATATAATGAGTTTTAAGATTTATTGGTGGCACAACTGTTAGAAAAGGAGAGTCTGATTGGAAGGTCGCCAGTTCAACTCCCAGGACTGGCAACATTAAAATGTGGGTGAGAAAGGTGAAGCACCCACACCTGCCTCAACCCTCATTTGCCCCACTCTGGGCCCTTGAGCAAGGCCTTTAACCCCCACCATCTGCTCCCCTGGGTGCCCTAGTTGTCAGCCCTCTGCGCCACACAGAGGACTGTGGTAGCTCGGTGGTTTGTTGTGTCAGGAAGATGCATCTGGCATAAAAACAATCGCCAAATCTTTGAGCGAGTCAATTTGCTGTGGCGACCCCTGAGGAAGGGAGCAGCTGAAGAATTAAAAAAATATATCTATTTTTTACATGCTAACACAAATGACCAGATTCTTGTAAAGAAATATTTTTATTTTATTTTTTACATTTTTGTTTTACAAATTTAAACAACGAACATTGCAGGCCTATGTGATTTTTTTCTTAGTTGTGGAAAAAGTAATTATCCGACTTTGAAGAAATAACGCATAGTATTTTTACTCCTTGTATTAGTACTTTTTACATGTTTGCAAAGGAAATGACACGATAAACCTAGACCTTTTTTGTTGTTGGTATAACAACAAGTAAAATTCAGTTCTGTTAGTTTTGGTCAAAGTAGAAAGAGCTGCAGAGGAACCAATGAACCGCATGTATGCAGAGCTGTAGGTTGCACCAGGTCAGTGAAACACATTTGATGGGCGTCAACGTTTTACCCGCGCTGTATGCAAATAAACCAATGAAATGTTCGCGCCACTTCGCAGTACGTAAAAGATACATACAAAATCATCTAGGTTGTAAAACGTATTTAAAAGAAAACAAATTGTAACAACCCATATAGTTGAGTTTCATATTTACTTTCCTTTGTAACCCATGTTTTATTCTGACAACTCTCACGCTTTTATAAACCATCAGCTTATATTTATTATCGTGCTGCCAGGACCTTCCGGTGGCGCGGGAAATGAACAGATTCTGGCGGCTTGCAGCTGCAGGTCCAGCTTTGTTGGTCGCAGAGCTGCAACTCGGTGTGTTCTCGTGTCTCTGTTGGAAAAAATGCCTTTCACCCGCTCCAAGGTAAGAAAACCACCCTGAAGTTTTTATTTAAAAACGTGTTAACAGCAGAGTCACTGTGTGCTTCCTAAACTTCATGACAAACACAGGTTGATTGATACTTTTGCTTCTTTAAGCAGAGATCTAGTGTAGGCCTGCATGTGCAAGGCTTTAAAAATGAGTGCAAGCTTTTATTTGGGGATCAGTAAATATTAGGCAGATTATCTGATTTTAAGGTGCACGCACTAACTCCTACATTTGGTTTAGTTTGAGCTTTGAGAGGGTTCTTACTGTACAGAACACAACAGAAGAAATCAAACAACAGAATAAATGTAATAGATTACATATTTAAACAAATATATATATATATATATATATATATATATATATATATATATATATAAACGTTTAAAAGTTATTTTGATTGTCATTTAGTGTTTTTTTTTTTAACAATCTATAAACATTTTGAACTGTTATGTGTAACTAGTATGTAAAAAAGACACAAATGCACTAGTGCCCATTTCATAATCAGTGATTTTAAGCTCATGCATTTTGCACAGTTCAGGTGTAAAATATATTTTATGATCTTTTTTTTATTATAGAAAATCTAAGAAGAAACACAAACTTACTTCAGTTAATTTTGTCCCATGCAGAAACTGGCAGCCCAGCCTCTGCCCACCAGGATGAGTCTGAGGAGCTACCGCAGCATCCCGCTGGTTCCCATGGAAACCTTGTCCTCCTCTTCTTCTGATGACAGCTGTGACAGCTTCGGCTCTGACGGAGGCTTTGCTAATACGGTAACTGTGAAATGCTAAGTTTGTCCACCGCTGTACCCCCTTTCTATGGAAAGTTGTTGCATTTGACGCTTGTGCCTGTTTCAGAAGAGCATCTTGAGTCGGACAAGGAGCGCGGCTGAAAAACCGAAGATGTTTGTGGCTGCGTCAGAGGACTCGTGCAGCGGGTCTGAGGAGAGTGAGATCAGCAGTCAGATAAAAGCTATGGTAAGAAATGCAACTGATTTTCTCATCTCCAAACCAAAACAAACACAATCCCTTTAACTATCCATTTTTAAAAAATATGTATTTCAGAAAGTAAACGTTGAACCTCCAAGACGTGGTCGCAGGCCGAATGTCCTGAAAGTTGCTTTGAAGTTTCCCTCAAAGAAGACGGACAGGAAGAGACCTGCGTCTGAACCACTCCCTCAGCCTGAAGTGCAGGACTCGGACTCTGAGGAGGAGAACTCTTTGAGCAAGAGAGCTCTGAATATTAAGGAAAACAAAGAAATGGTATGGTCGCTTGCTTTTGTTTCACAGTGATTACTTTACACTGGACTGCAGAGTACATGTTAACCATGCTGTATTGATTGATTTATTTTTTGTTTAGCTGGCAAAGCTCATGGCAGAGCTGAACAAAGTGCCTGGGCTCTTCCCAGGAAGACGGATGGCCACGGTAAAACAAACAAACAAACATTAATAGATTTGTCAATTTCTCTTAACAGTCTAGTGGTTTTTACTCTTAATAAGAAAAATTTACACCTTCAGCCAAGAGCGACACCTCAGCGGTCTGTGAGAACACCAACAACTCTCAGGAGAAACCCAGAGCGCACGTCTCGGCCCCACACTCGTTCTCGATCTCTGGTAGATGGACCGCCCAGCCCACCTCCCGAGGAAGGGCCCGAGGATAAGTTCAACCTGGTCCGTAAAAGTCCCTACTACGAGGAAGTTGACGAACCTGTGAGTTGGCTCAGAGCACCAGTAAATGTCTGCTGTATAGACGTTACTGTTGTAACTATATTGATTTGTTTTTTCCCCCGGGCAGCCGCGTCGTCGTTGCTTCCCTGGCACCAAGGCCATCCCTCACGTGGTGCGACCTGTGGAGGACATCACCGAGCGGGAGCTGCAGAAGATCTGCCATAACGTTCGCGAGAAAGTCTACAACACCTACACTGTGAGTTCACCGGGCTGCTGAAAAAAGCTGTTGGTGAAACCAAGTGACTGAACGGCTTTGACATTTTCTGTTTCAGGGATCCACTTGCCACCAGTGCAGACAGAAGACCACCGACACCAAAACCAACTGTCGTAACCCAGAGTGCTTAGGGGTGAGGGGGCAGTTCTGCGGCCCGTGTCTTCGCAACCGCTACGGAGAAGAAGTCAAGGATGCTCTGCTGAACCCAGTACGTCCTGAACCCTTCATAGTTTTGATCGTAATTTGAGACGCACGCGTGGATTGTAATGACGTGCTTCCTACAGGAGTGGTGGTGCCCACCTTGCAGGGGGATCTGCAACTGCAGCTTCTGTCGGGCCAGAGAGGGCCGCTGCGCCACAGGAGTTCTGGTCTACCTGGCTAAGTACCACGGCTATGACAACGTGCACGCCTACCTGAAAAAGTGAGATTTCAAGCAGTCCCAGTTTTCAGTACGTTGAAGGTTTCTTGACACTTTTGATTGTTTTCTGCAGCTTGAAACGAGAAATGGAAGAAGAGAGGAAAGACTGAAGAAGCTGCTGCTACGTTCTTCCTGCCCAGCTTGAACACACCCAGTTGAAATGTTTCTGTTTGAAGCGCTTTATTGTTCCTGTTGGGAGTTCATTTCCAGCGCTGACTGACAGCCGGAGGAGACGTACGGTCGTTTTTCCTCCGGCGTAAAACTCAAAATGTTTCCGTAAAGGTTTTTTTTTTTTTTGTCAACATCGATTATTTGCTGTTTAAACCTGAAAACGATTCTCGTCCTGGGATGTGCATATCGTGTTTGTTAAAAATGTTCCCACTCTTTCATGCTTTGAAGAGTTTTTCTACTGTACATTGTTTTAAATGTATCGATTTTAATCTTCCTGCATGTTAAAAGAAAAATCTGCCTCCTTTTTATGCTTTTGGCTCTAAATTAACGCTTGTGTTCTCTACAAGTTTATACCTGTTTAAAAGGTGTGTGTGTGTGTGTGTGGGGGGGGGGATGCTTTTGTCACGTTTGTTCCTGCTTTTGGTTTGGATGCAGGGGTGGAAAAAGGGACGCAGACCAAGGTCCACTGCCTCTCCCTCTTCTCAAACGGAGAGGAACTGTGATAAACTACAGCGTCCGCTTAAATCTCCTTCATTAGATAACTGTCGCTAATGGTGTGGAAACAATTAGCACACTCTAATGGGAATCTCATACCTGTAAATCATTTGATCCTGTTAAAGGCACGTTCTCGCTCTGCTCCGCTCTCTTTGGCTCATTTTCTGCTGTACATTGCTAAGTAGGAACGGTTGAAGTAGAGTTATATATGCCTCTTTTTTTTTTTTCTGTTCAGGGTTGTGATCCGCTGCAGGAAAAAGACATAAAATTAACCTTTGTGCTGTTCATCTTTGAAATGAACTTCATGTGACCTGCGGATGGAAATCAGTCCCTGTGGTTTGATTCACTGTAAAGAACTGCAAAACAATGACATTCTGCTTTGTGTTCACCAATAAAGTGCACAAACGTCACTTCCTCCTGAACTTTAATTACTGTTATTAAAAAAAAAAAGCCATTCAGACAAACTAAAGACGTGAAGGGTTTCTGTTGATGCTATAGGAAAGCGTGTCGGCGTTTATGCTTAAGTTTGCGTTCCTTCAGAGTAAAGCTTAACAAACGGCGAGGAGGTCTCGGTTGTCACTCAGCTGCCTGCACAAGCTCGAGTGGGTCAGATAATCACCATGTACAGCTGCTGCACGGAGCTGAATTAAAGGTGAGTCCATTTCAGTCCATGCACGTTCACGATTCTCACTGTTTTCATGTTAAACCAGTAGCTTATATTTAGGAACTTTGATTTTAACTAATTGGAATGTAGCTCGTTAAGTTGTAGATTGCATGAATGCTCATTAACTGAAGCTCTTAAGTCCAAACTGAGTCAATAATTCACACCAGAGGTTGGATATTTAGTTATTTTTAACAGCAACAAACTATTATATGTAATGACATGACCTTTTTCACTTGTCTATTATTGCTGAAGGCAGATTGTTTCTTGTGGCAGAACCTCCAGCCTTCCATTAATAATCATCTCTTATATTTTAGCTATTCTTCTCGGTGCAGCCCACGTGATATTTTTACGTCTTGTTTGAAATAAGGTGAGTTAAAGGTTCCTGATGCAGGACAGGACGGTTCTTCAGCACAGCTGGACTATTTTTGATTTGCATCCTTCAACATCTTAAAGTCATTGATCCTTTAGGCTGACAACAACTAACCTCTAAACTTTTCTGTTAAGAGATGTTTCTTCAACTTCTCTGCACATTCTTTAGAAACTGGTTGCACAGCAGCTCCTTTGGCTCGTGGTTCAAGGTTCTTTATTGTCATTTGCATCACATGTACATGAGGTGGAATGAAATTGTGTATTCAAGGTCCGAGTTTCACCCAAAAATTGCAAAACTATAATATAAAAAAGAAACCTAAACAATAATAATATAAAATAATACAGTGTATTAAACAGCAGCCTGACATTGTTTGGGATGATCCCAGAATGCATTGTTTGTAAATCAGTACACAAATCCAAAATCATTTTTAAGTTTGGTGCAAATATTTAATTATCCTGTCAGATTTTATTTAGTTATTTAGTCTCACTTTGTGTTTTTGATCACTTTTTGTTTGAATCAGTTTAGTGTCATTCTGTGGAACAAACAACTGTTTACATTGTTTTAACTTAGATTTTATAAATGTCTGTTTTGGACATTTTAAGTAAATAATTTAATAAGTGAAACAATTATTAGTGCGTCTAGTTTATTTTGGATAGTTCAGAGCTTTAGATAAGTGCATTTTTTTAAAGCCATTCTGGATTATATTTGTTTTACAGATTTTTGTGTCATCTTTTACTTTATGACTAAAATGCAGATTTCCTTGTTCAGAGAAAATGAATTAATCCGTTGTTTATTTCTTTCTGGTTGTTTTGTCTAATTTTAATCACTCAGAAGTATTTTTGTGCATTATTACGGTCTTTTTTAATGCAAAACATATATCTCTTATTTTAGTCGTTTTGTGTCAGATTTCATCTTCTCGTGATCAAGTTGCTTTTCTTGTATTTATTTATTAGGATTTTTTTTTTGGGACTGCATCAATGAAAGACAAGAGTATCATCACACAGAGTCGCTGAATAATTATTAAAATATCATTAATACATGACCATTTGGTAAAACTGAAATCCAGTATATTGATTAATGAACATTCAATGAAGGATAAGATGAGCAGGTCAAGTATTTCCTCCAGACGCTCTGATATTTCAGTGTGATCCAATCATTTGATTATGACGTATGAACCCAGGTATTGAGTGTCTTGTTGGAAATTCTTATTTTAGAAATTTCTGTCTCAGGTTTTAAATCCATCCTCATCAAGGTCTTTAGTAGAATATTTTTTACAAAGAAATTACACTTCTATTAGCTCAAGATATTTCTCTAACCATATTAATTATGTCATATTTAATTAGTTCTGAGTTTAATGTCTAATCAATAAAAAGACAGTTATATTCTCATGTTTTTGGCAATAAAAGTATAAATATAAATGAAATTAAAACGCATATTTCTTTTTCTTACCCCTTTCTGTCCAAAAGGAGCATTTCAAAAACTATTATTAGTCTAATAAAGATGCACTTGAAAATACTAGTCCTGTATTAAATATCAATGATCATCCACTTCGGAGTGATGAATATTTAGGGAAGTAATTGTTTACAACGCTCCAGCATTGAGCTGATTTGGTAATCAGGCTATGAAATACAATATTTATTCATTAGAGCAGATTTAATGAGGCCTTGCGGCGCTAATTATGAAAACCAGTGTAGCAGTAAATGAGTAGCGCTCGGCGGTGGGCTGTGGGGTACCTGTGACGAGGGTCTGGGAGGGGGGTGTTGAAGTGCCCCTGAAGTAGCGTGCAGTTGAACATACCTGCAGACAGGTTGCAGATGGGGGCCCCACCTTCGAGACCGAGGATCTCTCCTACTCCTTCATAACAAATCCAGATAATCTGCTTTATTCCACATCAACACGCAGCACAGCGGATAATCTCATAGCTTTTCAAAGGAACTCAGCAAGACTTTTTAAATATGTCATTGATACAGTACCTATGAAACAGCCTTCTATGTATTTGTATGCAGGTCTGGGGATATGTGGTAGGATTTCACAACATAATATGGGTTTTGATTGACTGATATTTTCATTATGGCTGCAGGGTAGCGTGAAGACTGTTAATTTGCTCGAGAGTCCTGCAGGTCTACGGTGATTGTAGCAGAGCCAGAAGAAAAGCAGAATAAATGAAACTCACGGGGCACAATCACAATCTGTGGGTCAAAATCAACTGATTAATTAGGCCCGAGCAGCAAAGCGCTGCGAAGGCCTATTGTAATTGTGCTGTTTCTTATTAGGCCCGAGCAGCAAAGCGCTGCGAAGGCCTATTGTAATTGTGTCGTTTCTTATTATTATTTTTCTTGGGACTTTTGGGACGCATTTTTGGAGGCCTTAGCATATCCCAAAACTCACCAAACTTCACCAAAACTTGTCCCCCTAGTAAAATTTTTGAACTGTAATGGATCCAAAAGTGGGCGTGGCCAAACTGCTCCACAGCGCCCCCTAACGTGA